ATACTCACCTCACCCAAATTCCTCTTGCCTTCTTTTAAAATTTTGTATTATTAATTTATATGTATATGCCTACACATGAGGTCAGAGAAAATCAGACCACTTGGGACTGCAGTTACAGGCAGTTGTGAACTCCCCAAATGGGTGTTGGGAATTAAACTTGGGTACTCTGCAAGAACAGTATGCACTTTTAACCACAGAGCCCTCTCTCCAGCTTCACCTTTTCTGAGACAGGGTCTCATGTAGCCCAGGCTGGCTTCAAGCTCTCTCTACAGTGGAGGATGACCTTGTATTTATGATCCCTCTTCTCCCAGCTCACCAGTGCTGGGAATTCAGGCATTATTGGCATAAAAAAATCAGTTTTTGTTTTGTTTTGTTTTGAGACAGGTTTCTCTGTGTAGCTTTGGCTGTCCTGGAACTTGCTCTGTAGACCAGGCTGGCCTCAAACTCACAGAGATCCACCTGCCTCTGCCTCCCAAGTGCTGGGATTAAAGGAATGTTCCACTACCAGCTGGCTTCTAAATCCTATTTTTTTAAAAAAGATTTATTTATTCCTTATGTAGACAGTGTTCTGCCTGAATATATTCTTGCATACCAGATGAGGGCACCAGATCTCGTTATAGATGGTTGTGATCTGCCATGTGGTTCCTCAGAATTGAACTCAGGACCTTTCAAGAACAGCCAGGGCTCTTAACTGCTGAGCTACCTCTCCAGCCCCCTAAATCCAATTCTTAAGAACCATAGTGATGCCCAGCTGACTAGATGTATTCTGATATACATTCATATATCCGACGTTTTTATACCTACCAGATAAGTTTATCTTCGTGGCATTTCTTTTTTAGTTTAGTTTTGTTTTTTTGAAAGTTTCTCTGTGTAGATTTGGAGCCTGTCCTAGAACTTGCTCAGTAGACCAGGCTGGCCTCTGGCCTCGAACTCACAGAGATCTGCCTGCCTCTGCTTCTGCCTCCCAAATGCTGTGTTTAAAGGTTCTAACTGTTCATGGGTTCCCTGACCCTTTGGGAATCTGATTTTTGAAGTTATCTCATCCATTCTGTTCTCCGGAAATTGCCGGTGTATGCACAAAGGTTTGTGATTCTCCTCTGTGGGTATAGGGGACCGTCCTTCCAGCTCTACAGAAGTCTGGCCCACCCTACTGGGCACTCAAGGCTATTGTGTCTCTCGTTCCAGGCTGTGCACTGCTCAACGCTAGGTGGCGCCACGACACCAAGTACAGTGCTCAAGTTTGGGATTTTTTGCTCCTGTGTCTCTTTCAGACTGGGGATATCTAGTTCTCTCTTAAGGAAATTTAAGGGTTGAGATTCCAAGATTAGGGTCAGTTAGTGGCTTGAGCTGAGGGCATACAAAGATCACTGGGCCCTGGAAAGTGACTGTGTTCGACTCTGTCACTTTTCAGTTTTTTGGACTGGAACCCTTCACAACACTTGAGGCCAGGGAATTATGGAGTGGGTAGTTGAGCAAAGAGAGAGAGAGAGCCTGTCTATGCCTCAGCAGGCAGAATAGGAAGGAAAAGCAAGAAATCAAAGTGAACCGCATGGGGAGCTAACTTTGAGAGGATTGTTACTAATGGGCTTAGGAAAAGTATCAATACAAAGTGCATCTTTGATAAATTATTTCACTTTTTTATTTCATGCCTTGGGAACCTGAAAATCCCCTTCTTAGGTACTACAGAGTGTAAATGGATTGACATGCATACCCTCTCCGGGTGTTGGTGGCACACGCCTTCAATCCCAGCACTCGGGAGGCAGAGGCAGGCGGATCTCTGTGAGTTCGAGGCCAGCCTGGTCTCCAGAGCGAGTGCCAGGATAGGCTCCAAAACTACACAGAGAAACCCTGTCTCAAAAAAACCAAAAAAAAAAAGATTTTGTAAAAAAAATTATGAGTCTGTGTGTAGGTATGTACACATGTGTGCAGTTGCCTGTGGAGGACGGAAGAGGGTGTTGGATGCCCTGGAGTTGGACTTACAGGTGGCTGTGAGCCGCCTGAAGTGGTTGATGGGTAAGTTTTCTTAACTGAGCCAGCTCCCCAGACCCAACAGACATTTTAAAAGTTGGCACTGCCCATTTTCTCTTTAAACATTTTTTGTGGGTTTGTAGAATCACAAGGACCTATGAGGTGGCCATTAAAACACCTCAGGACACGAGGGAAGGCTTCTTGGAAGCAATAAAATGAATGGCATTTGAGCCATGAAGCTGAAAAGAAACTGGAAAAATACTGCAGGCAGAAGAGACAGGCTGTGTGAGAGCAGGTAGGTGACAAGGGCTTTGTGAGAGCAGTATGCTGCCCCGGGGAACCACGTGGGGATTTCTTCTTTTCTTCAGAGAGATCTTCCAGGTCACACTAGATCAGGAAGGCGCTGGGACTGATGTACAAGAGCATAGCTGGGGTCCTCGGGTAAGGATCCCCTTCACTGTCATTTCCCCCTGAACTCGGTTCTCATTTGCCCTAGGGATATGAATTACCATGACCTGGAGATGAGCCTAGAACCTGTCTCCAGAAGGTAGATCACATGGCAGCAGAGAGTCTGATAATAAATAAGCTCTTTCTGCTCATGGATCAGCTGACATGGAGCACATGTAAGCTGGCATGCTGTGTCTCGTTCCTTGCATACATGTCTACTGATTATCAGCTGTGGGGAAATGAATAACAAGGGTGAAGGCGTGCTGTGACTGAACTCTGCATTCACGTATCATCTACTCATTTTGACCACCCTAGGAGGGAAGGCATCTTCATTCTGCCTGGGAGAGGAGAGGAGACTGGGGTCCGAAGAAATGGAACTATTAACCTAAGGCAGATACCAAAGGCAGGATTCAACCCCAGGCAGTCTGTGCCTCTGGACACTAGCCTGGTTTCCCACAAAGCCCTAACCAGAACAAACCCCATTTCCTTTCTAACAGAACTTCCATGGTAAATGGGAGGCACATAAATAGCATCGGCTAGGCACGATGGCACAGGCCTTTATACCAGGAGTGGGAGATCAGCCTAGAGTATATAGTGAGTTCAGGCCATCCAGGGCTACATAGTAAAACTCCATCTCAAAAAAAAAAAAGGAAAAAAAAAAAAAAAAAAAAAAGGAAAGCAAGCAAGCAGCATCCTGGACAGATCTCGGAGGTGTAATGCAGTTACAGTGTTTGGCTAGAATACAGAAAGTGTCAGATAAGCCTGGTGTGGTGGCACATGTCTGCAATCCTAACATTCAGAAGACAGAGGCATGTGGTCAGGATTCTGAGGTTAGCCCATGGCTACACAGTAAGTTTGAGTCTATATGAAACCTGTCTCAAGATAAACAAATAAATAAAAAGAAGAGCTTGCTGTCAAGCCCGATTACCTGAGTTCAATCCTTGCAACCCAGATGGAAAGGAGAGAGCCAACTCCTGCAACTCCTGGTTGCCCTCTGACCTCATGAATTCAATGTCATGCATGGGTACATATGTGAGTACACACACACACATACAGAAAGATTGTAAAATTTTAAAAATAAAGTTAAAGAGACTGGAGAGATGGGTTGATGGTTATGTAGCATTTGTTCTTGCAGAGGACTTGGGTTCAGTTCCCAGCAGCTACATGGTGGCTCACAACCAGCTGTTACTCTAGTCCCAGGGGATCTGATGCCCTCCTCTGGCTTCCAAGAGCACCCAGCATTGGTTCACATGGTACACAGACATCCATGCAGGCAAAACATCCACCCACATGAAAAAAACACAACAAGCAAAAAGCAAACTCATACCAAAAACCTAGCATACAATAAGTGCTGGATAGGGAAAAAAAAAAAAAAGCCACCCAGCAAGATAAAGACATTGTTGGATGTGACGGGTGAGGGAGCCAGCAGGTGACTAGTTTTAAACAAGGTGCCCAGGATAAGCATTATGGTTACATTCGAAACATTTGAGGTAAGCCTTGAAAAACAAAACTCAAAAATCAAACACAAACCAGAGGGAGGCAGCCGGGAGAAGCAAATCTGGAGGAAGCGAATTCCAGGCTGGGGAAGAGGCCAGGCAGTTCGAAGGTCCTGAGGCAGGAGTGTGTGCAGAGTGAGTTCAAGAGACATTAAGGAAGTTAGTGACTATAGGTGATGAAGGGAGCAGGGAGAGAGGCGGGAGCAGCAGTCAGAGGAAGGTCTGTCTTAAAACAAAGGAAAAGCAAGCAAACAAAACGAAACCACAAAGAGCCAGCACAGATATCCAGGAAGGAAATGAAGATGGAGAGGGTCCCGGAGGCCAAAGGAAGGAGCAGAGCCCGAAGCAGCGGCTGGGGCCACTTAGGATCTGGGCTGGGGAAGAGGCCACAGGCGCCAGTTTGGGCGGTGAAGGTGGCAAGAAGAAACTCTGGAAGAGCTCAAGGAGATGGATGAGGAACGTAGCGGGAAGGGTACCCGGCCATAGGTGGAATTAAGAAATCTGTTTAAACAAAACAAAAACCTGAGCCGTTCTGCGTACCTGAGATGCGGGTGACCCTCTCCCATTCCTGCTTAAACATACTCTAGGTTACGACACGATCCAAAACTAATAAATTGCTTTTAAAAGCCAGGGAGGCAACTGATTCAATGGCACATAGCTGGGTGACACGGAGGTCTTACACGATCTGGTGGCGCAGACCTCAAACGGCTCAGCCGGCAAGGCCACGGTGGGCGGGGCGGGGCGGAGTTAGGGGCGGGGCTAGAGGCCGCAGGGCCGCGAGGGCGGGGTCAGCGAGGCGGGCTGCGGGCATGCGTGCAGCCCTCAGAGGCTAGTAGAGCTAAGTAGTAAGCGAAGCGGATCGGGGGCGGGGCCTGGGAGTCGAGAGCCGGGTCCCGGGAAAATCTCTCCCCACTGTAGGTCATCTTGGAGGCAGAGCAGAGTGCGGCTGACGAGGGAGGGATAGGGCGTGGCCAGGGAGTTAGATGAACGGGTCGGGGGCGTGGCCGAAGAGAAAGGCTGGTGGACGGGGCGTGGCAGGGCAGTTAAGGGCGTGGCGGGGCGGGCCAGGGGGCAGGGCGAGAGGAGGCCAGGACAGGGGACGCTGCGGGTAGTGGAGGCAGGCCCCGCGCGGTGCAGCCGCGGGTGAGTGCAACGTCCCCCGCGCCCGGCTCCGGCAGCCCCGGCGACTCCAGCCCGCGCCCGCCATGCCCGAGCAGCTCAGTATTGCGGAGTTCCTGGCCGTCACCGCCGAGGACCTCAGCTCCCCAGCCGGGGCAGCGACTTTCGCCTCCAAGATGCCCCGGTGCCGGGGGGCGGCTCTAGCACGGGAGGAGGTGAGGGGCCGAGGCGGGAGGGGGCTCACGTCAATTCGGGGCCTGGCTTTGACCTTTGCAGGGGTGCTTGGAGCTAGGATGGCTCTTTGCGGCGCTCCAGAAACTCACCCTCCTAGATCTGTGGGAACCTAGCTCATCTCAACCATCTGTGTCCTCACGGTGGAGCCGGGAAAAGAGGACCAGAGGGACTTTGTGGGCGATCTCGGGGTCACCTCGATGAAGCCTCCTACATGTCGGGGCACATCTCTCAAATACTTCGGCGACCTGCCCATCAAACGTATATTTGCTCAGTGGCTTACCGCTGTGTTTTCGTTTTTGGAGTCCCACAAATATGCAACCCCCAGGTCACTCCCGTTCTGAGAAACAGGCTCGGTCCTGAACCTACCTCTCCCGGGCGGGCTTCAGGAGAGAGGAGGCCCCCTCCTCCTAGCCGCTGGTTCTGAGACTTGGCTCGCTTTGTGGAATGAATGCGAATGGAAAGGCGCCAGGAGCCGGGGTTCACCTTGGCTGTCGCCGCCTCCAAGTTTATAGACTCCTCTCCCTTCTTCTCTTCTCTTTGTGTTTCCAGGCAAAGTGTCCCAGGCCCTTTCTTTCGCCCTTGTAGGCTGCCCCACCCCATTCCCATGCTCACTGGAGTTCATTCCTCTTCTCTGAACTCGCTGCAGCTTTTAGTTGTCTGTAAAGAATATGCTGGAGCAGACAGCCTGAGGTCTGTGGCCAGAGGAGGATAATGTGACTACAGCTCTCTTCCAGAGGATACCCCGAATTGGGGTGGCATTTCGGACTTCATTGGTACTCTAGCCCCCAACCCTTCACCATAAATGTGTGCCTACTATGTGGCAGATGCAAAACTACACAGAAATACTCAAAGCTGAGGTCTTAGGAAATCTCCCTTCTTCCTCTCTCGCCTGGCTGGCTCTCTGTCTTGACTTTTCTCCTTGGTAAGGAAAACAGAATTGTACAAAGACTGTCAATTTCAAGTGATGCTAACCTGTGTTCAGACCCTGGCCCTGCAGTTTGCAAGATGGGTGGGCCTGGTCATGTGATCTGATCTGTAAAGTGGGGATAATTGTTTACCTCATAGAGCTGTGAGGTCATGGGAGCAATCTGAGCAAAGATGGCAACATTACTGTCAGGTTAATTGACAGATCTCTTTAGATAGTGACCAGATCTCTTGGATCTTCATTTCTTGTGCACACAGTAGGAATACTTCTCAGGTTTTGTGACTGTTTAAGACTGTCTCACTATATAGCCCAAGTTGGCCTCAAACTTGTGGTCCTCCTGCCTTGGCCTTTCCAGAGTTGGTATTACAGGGGTACACCACCACACCTGGTTCAGGAGTAGGTGTCTGTATGAAGAACCAGTGAGGCTAGGATTGCTTGAGCAGGCCTACCACACACACATGTGGGTATCTTACTGGCTTCTCAGAGGGAAATGCTATCCCATAGCCTTAGCCTTGTCCTTAGGAGTGCCTCCTGCAGGTGGGCTCACAGCCTACTTGTTTCAGGACATCTTTAGGGATTTTACCTGTCATCCAGGTTGCCCATTAGAGTGTTGAGTCAGAGCAGAAGGGACTGTTCTGACTGTATGTGCCTGTGCACCTGACCCTACCTGGCTGTGGAAACACTTCGTGTTGGGAGAAGAAATAGATCTGGGGATCCAGTGGGCTCAGATTTGCCCCAGGGCAGGCCAGACAAAAGCCAACTTTTTTTTTGCCTTCAGATCCATGCACTTGCAAGCTTTTTTGTGTAAAAACCACTGTTTTTTTTTTTTTTTTTTTTTTTTTTTTTTTTTTTTTTTTTTTTTTTTTTTGGCAGCAGAAAAGTTTGGTGTCCCCAAGCACAACTTTTCTCTTCAGCATTTCAGTGTCCCAAAAGTTAAGAGTCTGACTTTTGAATAAATTTTGTTGGAGTTTTCTGGTTGGTTTTGTGGTCATGTCTCTCTGTTATTATAATGTGCTTACATGCAGTTTGATTCTGGGTTTTTTTTTTTTTTTTCCTCCCTCCAGTACTGGGCATGACTAACCTAACTCCAGGCTTTTATCTCCAGTTGGCTCTCAAATCAAGGCTTCCAGGTCTAGGTGGTTTCCTGGAAGTAAGTAAGGACTCTTGTCGTAGGACTTGCAGGCCTTTTTTATCAACCCTACTGGGAATGACCCTGGGACAGGACATGGGAAGCAAGAGTGTGCAGGCTGAGAGAGAAGTCAGCTAGAATTCCTCTCATTTAAGATGAAGAAACAGATACGCAAAGAAGGCCAGACACTGTCTGAGCTCCCAGAGCAAGAGAGAGGGGGCAGTTGGCATTTCTCCCTCATTGTCCTAACCTCTGGTCCTGTTTTCTTTCTTGCAATGTTCACCTGTCTGGCCTCCCTCTAGAACTTCCCCAAACCTCACTTATTTCATCTTGAAATGGAGTCTCCTAATTCTTCCCTGTTAAACCTCACTGAATTGCTAAAGGTTGTTTGTTTTTCATTGTGAATCTCCGTGCAGCATGAAGGAGTATTGAAATAATCCCTGCGTCTCTCAGACAGCCCCTTCTACCCTGGACCCCCCTACAGTCATCATCCCAGTTGACTTTGACAGGGAAACTAAGGCAGCTGCCATGCGTGACATGGCAGTTCTGGCTGGCTGTTCTTTTGTACAGTTCCCAGTGCCATTTCTGGGCTGGGCACTGAGGACATAGTGATCCTTCTTTGGTTTGCTGACTGGATGGGGACATGCAGCACACCTTAGGGTATTTAGTAGGAATGCCAGGAGCTGTCCTGAGTGTTCAATGAAAGACTCAGTCAGTGTTGTCAGAGGCCAAAGGAACAGGCTAGGGAGTGAGCAGGTGAGGACCAGTGTAACACAGGAACTTTCTGGAGGAAGTTCAACTTCCAGGTAGAAGACGAGATGAACCCAGTTTAGTGGAGAACACAAGTGAGTGAATGCAAGGACTGGTTGGAAGAGAGCATATCAAGAAGCCAGGAGACCATTTTGACCTGTGCTCTGCCAGAGGCAGTCTTTGTGGACACATGCATGCTCCCAGTGTTTCCAGTGTGTGGGGGGGGGGGGGGGGGGGGAAGGGTCATGGTCAGGAGAATGTTTACCTAAAATCTATATCGTGTCTTACAGTGCATAGTTGAAATTCTGATGGAGTCAAAATTACCTTTTCCTTGGTGTGTGTGTGTGTGTGTGTGTGTGTATCTAGCTAGCCTGAAATTCATGATTCCCTGTCTCTGACTACTGAATGCTGGCATTACCGGTGTGTACCACCACACCCAGACCCAATGATTTTGGTGTTCTGAAAGGATTTCTTCTCTCTCTCTCTCTCTCTCTCTCTCTCTCTCTCTCTGAGGCAGAGTCTTGCTATGTAGCTTCAGGCTGGCCTCAAATTCTGCCTCAGTCTCCTGAATGTTACAATTACAGATGTGTGCCTCCTCATCTGTCTAAGGATTTCATTCTCAAGTATTAATATTCTTAGGGTGAGGATATAGATCAATGTCTTAGGTCCAATCCCCAAAAGCAAAATGACAACATAACCAGTATTAATATTCTCACAATTGGCCTCAGGGTGTGTCTCTTTGTTTTAGTGTAACAATCATGTAGGCTGGGCATGGTGGCGCTTGTCTTTAATCTCAGCACTGGAGAAGTGGAGGCAGCTGGATCTCTGTGAGTTCAAAGCTAGCCTGGTCTACAGAGCAAGTCCCAGGACACCCAGGGCTAAATAATGAGACCTTGTCTCAAAACACAAAATAAAAATTTATGTGGTCCTGGAGACTATAGAAAATATAAACCCTCTCAAGCCTCTTTCTATGGAAAGGAAGCTTATTTTAAAGAATTAGAGGTGCCTCTTGGAACTGAATAGCGAGGCCAGGTAGACACTGTGGCCTGGGAGTTGAGGCTTGGGAGGAGTCGGGGGCCCAGGCAGCTGCTTCATCTACCTTCTCTCATTCTGTCTCATCCAATTAGGGTTTCTGCTCCCTTCTTGTTACATAGATCCCAGAATGCAGCTTCAGTCCCCATGGTCATGTGACCTCATTGGTCCAGTGTCTAAAGGTAACCCAGCCAGTCTCTCATGTCCCATTTCCAAGCGGCAGCCCAGCCCAGCTTCTGGACTGATTACACCCCTCATTTCATCAATAGAGGTCACACTCAGGCAGGGTAAACATGGCCACAGTTTTACCCTGGGGGAGGAGGGCACTTCTTAATTGAGGAGGACAGGGTCCAGAAACTCCCCTCAGGAACATCCAGGAAGCTTCTCTCTATTTGGTGTAGTCTGGCCTCTGGGGAGAGGCCCATGCTGCCCAGTGCCTCCTGTTTAGAGCAGTTACATATTATCCCATTGGAATGCTAAAGGATGCTTAGCATCTCAGAGGGCCTGGAACACAAGTTGCACATTCAGACTTGTTGCTGGACATTGGGGATCAGAAACCCAATCAGGTTGACCAAGGACTAGATGAGGCAACCTTGCCAAGGGTCTCACAGCCCTTGGCATTGCATTCCAAGCTGTGTAGTAGTTGCTAGGAAAACTCATCACTCAGCAAGAGAGCTGCAGTCGCTGCTGTAGGGCCAGTTTCTTCTGGAGAAGTCAGTCAGGGAGCAGATGAGCAAATTCAACAACAATTCATATGGTAGCAGGTGGCAGGAAATCCATCCCCTTGTCCAGACCTTCCTTAAGGCTGGGCCCTGGGTCACCATCTCTCTTCCTGCTGTCTTTCTCTCCAGACAGTCTAGCTCATGGCTTCAGTCACCTCCTGCCTCTCAGTGACTCACCCAGCCCAGACTCATGTCCAGCAGTTTGCAGCAGTTTTGTTTGGACCACACTCCTCAGGCGGGCCGCCAGGTTCTGTTGCACAAGTTGGGACACTCATGCACTCTTTTTCACCAAGGGCCATGAGTTTTACCTGCTGTGTATCCTCAGTCTGCCTACTTTTCCTTATTGCTTCCTGGTCCACACCTACCTATCAGCTCTCCCCTGGAACATTGTGGTGACCTCTAGCTGGTCTGGCTGCTCAGATT